AATATATTACATTTAGCAAATGTTCTATAGTATGTGTTAGAAATTATTTCAAAATTCTCGTAAAAGTAGTTTCAAATAATCTTTTTATGAAAATCGTCCGAAGATGAAAGTATATACATTCAGCAGTTCTGGTAATTACAACTCAGAGTGGTTCAAATATGAAAGGGACTGCTTTTTTCGAACCGAAACTTTCATTATGAAAGAAAGAGGTGAAAATGTCACCCTTTAATGTACTTCGTTCCAGAGGCGATACATTGCCAATGCCCTTTTCATAGAAATGTTTCGGGTGTGAATCCACTAAACACTGACAGTGACTTCACAGTTATCCTCAAACTGCCGGCTTTCCAAGTGAGATTAAGTCTGCAACTCGGCATTGAAATAATAAACCCACGCTGCGTTATAGTCACTAAGAACTTCCAAAATGCAACATCTTCATCTTTAAATCGCAGTACAAGAGGATTTGGAATTTTTCATGCGCGTCACTTCGTTCTTATCTGTCAATGTGCGTGGAATTCACCCTACGTACACCTTGCCATATTGCAAATATTTTCTCACAATGGTTTCTACTCAACCAACGCTGATTAAAAGCATTTACGCAAGTTCTTTGATAATGATGTGCCTATTCTCAGGAATAACCGCATTCAAACCATCCATATTTATCGGAAGACGGATGATCTTCCCGCGCTCTCGTCCCTCAGAGATGCGCTCATACTATTCAAACGTATGGGTATTAGAGAGATAATCTTCCTCACACTTTGCTTAGAGTCTGCACCAAACTTCAGATGACTAGACGTTTTCTCGAACGAGAAATTTGATCACAGTGCGTTATTCCACGTCCGAGGCAAATGTTATTCGCTCTTTTGTCTCGCTACTGCCAGACGTTACTAAGTAAGTTCTAATCTGCATGGGTGAGAGTAGTGGCTGTACAAAAGACAAATAGCACAGTGCATGTATAGTGATTTATAACAACAACAGTTCCTGTCACCTTGTATTGAATCACCTTGTATTTTTCTTTCTCTGGCTGCGGCTGCAGAAAAGGATCTCCCGAACCTTGCGTTCGAGTCTTGTGTTATGAACTCGAGTCTTATGTTATAACATCTTTTCATGTTATTTAAATTAGTGAGAAGATTAAACAAAAGCTTACAAATTAAATTAAGAAGGAAGAAGCTATTTGGAGAAAAACTGGATATCTGAAATTGTGATGGTTAGAATTCTATTCCAAACATACAAGATTGAACATAAAGTTAAGAAAAGTCATATATCTCCAAGATAAATTGCTAGTAATTAGTATCAAAATACTAACCTCACGCTCTATTAACGATTGCTAACCTCACGTTCGTATTCAAGTAGACCGATTTTAGTACCCAAGATTTTCTTGACTTTCCCTAGCATGTAAACAGTAAGACTGTAGAGACATTAGCTATCTTTTTGAAAGCAGGAGAGATGAAAAATGCTCATTTTTCATTCACTCGAACCTCGGACCTCTCGAATATGCGCTGAGCGTGCTGACCATTACACCACGAAGGCATGCTAAGAAGGCGGGACAAATACCTTATACACTCCCCCCTTTTAAAGAGCGACTTGGGATTAGGGGACCCAATCACCAAATCTTGGTGGTGGAGAATCATCATCCACAATCCCTTTTAGTTCGGGCGCTACTGTAGACACATTAAATATTTTTTGAAAGCGGGAGAGATGAAAAATGAGCAATACCCATGCCGGTACTCGAACTTCGAAGCTCTCGAATACATGCCGACCTTGCTGACCCTTACACCACGAAGGCATCCTAAGAAGGCTGGAGAAATAACTTATAAAACAATGTGGCGTCGTTCACCTTACTGAGATCTTAATAAGTAGATTGCTGTAAGGTGATCTCAGTTCACTTGGTAAATTAGCCTTAATTATGTAATGACTGTTTTTCTGCTCTTTCAAAAGAGTTTGATCTTGTATACTTACCCGATAAGATATTTAGCCCACAACACGTTTTAGTTGACAACGTGTATGTATATTTACACAAAAACATGTTTCAATAAAATTTGCCCCCCCCCCATTTATCCGAAAAAGGGCTGTTTCCAGTGTACCCAACGAAAAATTTCATAAAGAAATATTAATTTTTTATCTTTATTTAATGCTATACAGAGTATAAATTTTAAAATTAGAAACAAAAGCAACATTAGGTTAGCGTCGATTTTGACATCTTTGAGAGCGTACAGATGTAGGTTTCTCTACTTCAGAAGAGGAAAAGAAATTTCAGCAGAGGGATGACCGAAACCATTGGGAGAAACAAAGTGAAAACGAATGTAGCGTGATCTGTAAAGGAAAATAGTAATGAAAAGGAAGAAATCCAAGGTATTAAAACTCTGAAAGCTTTGGGAAGAGCTAGATTGAAAAATGAATGTCATTACCTAAGGAAGAAACGTTTTTCTTAATGTAAAGGGATTTTAAAATTCAATTCTTTAACTGAAGGAGTTTTACGAATGATTTTTGCAGAACGAAAATCAAAATTATGCGGTTAGGTTTCCAATCGCGATTAGCTGTCAAAAATTTTTTTGTCTTTTTCGAACATCAGATTCATGTTCCCTGATGAAAAATTTCAACAATGGTTCAGTTTGTCTCATATATGAAAAATGACATTGACATGCTACGCTAAACTTCAACAGGAATTAAAATCAAAGATGGAATCTTTAAGAACCGAACAACGAATTTTACAGACAGGCGAGAAAATTATTCATAATTTAAGGAGAATCCGTCCAATTTTATAATTGATAGAGAGATTAAATAGTTGTCGGATAAACAGGGACAAATTTTTCTAGAGGGCTCTAATATAATTTTGATATATATTCAGGGAAATCTGCAAAGAAATTCACCGATCTTGGACTAGGTGAAGACGTTGTAACACATCTCTTAAGTGTGGCGGAAGTTCCTTCAAGTCATTACATATATTTTGACAACTTTTTTATGTCACACAGGTTGTTCTCAGAATTGAATGAGCTGGAATTTCATGCCACTGGAACAATTAGCGAGAAAAGATTAGGAAATTGTCCTATGGTATCCTTAAACAAAATGGCCCACCAGCGGCCGAGCGGTAAAGTCGCTGAACACTGGTAGTTCGGTCCGAGGTTCGAATCCCGCGAACGGGCTGGCTGCATGGGCGTTTTCGTGGTTTCCCCATGTGTAACGTGTATACGAGCCAGTTTTCATTAGAAAGTCCTCCACGAAGGCATCCCTCCCATTAGGCAGATATCCCTTGAGGCTTTGCCATAATCACTCACACACACACACCGTAAACAAAATGGAAAAAGTAGAACGGGGAACGTATGACACTGCATTTGATAAGAAGAATGGCCTTGCAGTAGTTCGATGGAATGACAATGCCGTCGTAACTATGACAACTAATTTTGATACGACTGATCCGCCATTAGTAGCCAAGATGTACGCTAGGAGAGAAAACAAATCTGTATCTGTAAAACAACCCAAACTCATCGGAAATTATAACAAATATAGGGGCCTCTACCATACGGTTAAGTTGGTTTACAGTTAGCGTGAGTCTCTCATCGAGTGAGTGTGTCTCGTCTAGCAAGTCAATCCCTGCGGAAGCGATCGCGTTGACAGCCGACCGGCGAGTGCCGAGTGGGTCGTCGAGTGTACCGAAAGAGTCTCGTAGAGTATCGCGGTTGGTGCATCGTCGAGAGAGCGTGTTGAGTTCCAGAAACGACTGAACCGAGAGTCAGGAGCTGTGCTCTGTGTGTCGTCGAATGCATCGCGAGTTGTAGCGTGAAGAGTCTCGAGAGTTCGTGGAGTTCCGAAAACGACCAAGCAGAGTCTGGAGCTGTACTCCGGAAAGCAGAGTCGGGTGCTTTGCAGGAACCCACCGTTATTGCCTGACAGTGTGGAGGCTGTGTCGCTCATTGCTCCAGCGTGTTTATAGTAGATTTTCGACGACTGTAAAAAGTGTTATTGGAGCTGTCCTGATTAATATTGGCTAAATAAAGTGTGTTTCAATACTTCATCAAGTGTCGTCGTCATTCACTCCAAGTCTACGAACCCCGTACGAACTGGTGTCAAGAAGAGAAAAACGTAACAATACATCCATGCAGATTAATCATTATTTAATTTCTTTAAATATAATACAAGACGAAAATAGTTGGTGACAATAATTTGAAAAGTTATACGCCGTTTATATTGATTTAACGCAAAATGCCGTTTCCAGACTAATACCCAATTCCGGACTAATGTCCTTTTGGGCTAATAATATTTGAAAAATTTTTAGAATCAGATAATTTGCGTGATGCAAACAGCAACTCTGTGAATCGATGTTGCTGTGAGTATTTAACAGCATTATTAAAAAAATGGCTCAGTATTACGGATGCAAACAATATTCATAACATTTCTATCAGTGAATTGCATCTTAAAAAATGGGTTGTTGAATTTATTAAATAAATTTTATCCCGGTTCTATCGTGAATTTGTAACTTATTGGAAAGTTGCGTGTTAATTTGTCTTGTAATAAAGATTTCTGCATTATCATTGTGCTCATTTTTCATTTATTATCTCAAGCTGAAATAAAGTTTCAAATTTGCGTTTACATATGCCCTGATTATTTAAACGAACCTTAACAGACCCATACTATTAACTAGTATTTAGCCTTCAGGAGGGAAGAAGAGAGAAAGAGAACCTAATTAATCAGACTGCTTGAATATTCTGATGGGCTGCGGTTCAGTTCCGACAAAATATTTAGAGTTCTGCTGTAAATATAGTATTACTTCAAAAGCAGTGCAATTTATTTTACCTCCCATGACACAATCAGTGCAGCTTTTTGTATTTCTACAAACAATTAAAGCGCTTTCTCGAAAGTACTGAGCGTGCACTAGTAAAAACAAGCGCGAATAACTAAGTGTTAAGCATAAAATATAACTTCATTCTGAAAATAAAAAATAAAATAAAATTTAAAAAAAAAAAAAAAGAAAAAGATAAATAAAACATTAAAGTAGAGACGAAAACTAAACATAAAATTAATACATTTATTGCCCAACATATATAATACATCTTTCAATTTTACACAATAATACACATACACATTTGAAATATATAACTTCCTCAGACAAATATTCTTTATAATAAGTCTCGTCTTTTCAAACAAAATAAATATACACATTTTCATTTGCAACATTTTGTACTTAAATCTAGGCAACAACACGAAAATACTTCATTATGCATGAAATAAAATACTTAATATTTTCTTTGGCTTGGAGAATTCGCCCTTCCCTCCCTTACAGTTTTGTGAGCATAAGATTTTATAAACAGTAGCAATAACTTATTATCATAAAAATACAGTTAACGATATAAACATCCTAGAATTAGAACACCTCCCTACGAATCTTTGAATTTCCTTTCTATTTGGATACTTTATAGAAACAAATTTCAGATCCTTGATCTACCACCGTACGAAGTATAAAAAGTTTTTAATAGCACAACACTCACAAAAGTTTGGGTAAAACTCCAGTAAGTACTAAGCCTTAATAAAACTTCTGCTGAATTTCACTAACTCCACTAATAAATTTTATGGATAGTAGTTACAGTCAATGCCTATAAACGTTATTTTACAATTTCTTAATAAAATTTATTTTGTGACTGACGAAACTGATAAAATGATTCCAAAGCTCTTTGCAGTTGGGAGATGGTGATAAAAGAAGATTCAAAAAAGTATTTAAACTTAATTAAATTAAATGATTGTGCATAAACTTAAAATCGAAATATCCAAGCAAAAAAGTGCTGTAAACGTTTTAGATTAAAAAAGCACAAAAATTTATAAACTATATGTAGCAACTTTAGCATCAGAGTTAAGAGAATATACTTTCTGAAGCTTAATCAAACTATTTCACATTTGCTGTATTCGTTGCGTCTTAGCAAGGAAAGTTTATTATTTATGTAAATAATTTACCTTCAGCTAACAACTTTTATTTGAAATTTACATCATTTATCTCTTGACTTTTCCTTAAAGGATGCTGCTGTATTTTCGCCACAAAAACCTCTCTAATGACAACATCTACGCAATGCTAAAAACATCAGAAAATTCAGTGGCAGAAAGTTCATATAATCGTTCAAGCTAATTCCCGGAAAATTCTAAAACCTGTCTCGATAAAAGTGGAAAGTTTCTATCATGAAAAGGATATCGTTTTAATAATTAACAAATTCAATCTCAGCGAGGAAAGTATATTTATTTAATTAAAAGAGCGATAAATTGTAATCTTCAATTTAAGTTAAAAATAAGCGATTTCATTTAGGTAGGGAATGTTTTGTTATGAAGTTTACTCTGAATAAATGCGAAGTAATTTTATTAATTGAATTTCAAAGCCATTATTAGACCTAAATTTATGAAATTAAAAATGGTAACTAAAAGCATTACAGATGTTAATAAATGTTAAATATCAACGATGATACTGGTTTAAAATATATACATTCATTTATGTACATGAAACGATGGCATTAAATGCGTTTGACGAACGGAATTTCTAACTGTTAAATTTAGATAGTCCCCCCCCCTCTCGGCCATCTTATATCATCACATATAAATAACAGATTAAAAATATTCTAAAAGAATTGCTATTATTCTAAAAGGAATTCTAAATATTCTAAAAGGAATAAAATTACGTGCTATTCTAATCTCGTTTTGAATCAAGTAATAAATTACTAATTAAAAATTCAAAAAATGTTTTTAGATAACTAAAATATTAACTCATTAAAATATATTTATTTCATTATAAAGGAAATGCAGTAAATAACTAAACGAATTAATACAATGTATAAATTTTAAACAAATCGAAGAAAAGTAGCACAATATTTCTTTGAACTGGACTAAGGTTTGAACATTCATTTTAACATTTGAAAACATAGTTACATTTTGATCTAAAGGTAAAGATGTAGGTCATTCTAATAAACTATTCATTTCAAACAATTTTGTTTAAAGAATTTCTGCTCACACATTCACTGTTGATTAGGGATGACAAAGCCGCAAAATTTCCTAATATTTTAAATAGTTTCATTCTTTTTTTAAAAACATAAAAACTCCATAAAATCACATTCATCTGTTTTTATTCATCTATTCATTTTTAATAAATTCGTATTTTACTTTGAAACATTTGTAGCACCATGTTCTTAATACTCTCTTTAATAACATGTAATCTTAAAGCTCCTTTAGTAAATTCTGCGATGACGTCATTGTCGCCGAATTCTTGTATTTGCAAAGGAACGAGAATTGCACATTTAAATTGTTGCATGCAATGAATAATCTACGCCTTCATTTTTATAATTATTGGAACTCCATTTATCCACATCGCTTGTCATTCTTTCTAGTTCAGCTAATTTGACTTTGTAGTTAATTCATTAAAGTGTTTTAAAATTTTATTGCTTCTACATTATTATTTTACACCAATAAAAAATAATGTTTAACTTTCGTTCAATGGGAATAGGTCAGGCGTTTATTTTATTATAAAAATAATTTCTCCTGTTAATTATCGAAAACATTATGCTCTTAGCTTTAGGGTTACGCAATTTTTTTTTTTTTTTTTTTTTTAATCGGTACTTACGTATTTGGCCGCTTGACTGCTTTCGGCAATGTCGCCAAACAGAGTAAATTTAGCACCAATAATGGATAAACGAGATGCCAAAACACGCTGCTAAGATCTCCGTCTTCTTTACATAACCCTGATCCTCAGTAAGAAAGATTTGTTTGTAAAACTGGGACGTACATAACAGCAGACAATGCACTATTTTAAAATTGGTTTACTGATGAACATACTCAAAACATTGAAAAACGTTGATAAAACGGAGCAATTAAATACACAGCGAAGCTACGTGTCACTACGTAGCTTGGCATTTAAGCGAATTTATGTAGCGCTGAATTCGCATGAAAGGTGACGACTTTATTGCTTTTTTTTAACTTCATAAGGTATTTTCTATTGCCAGACTTACTTATAAGACAATTTCAATTTCGTATTTATTTTTAATATGCAATATTCGTAACTTGTATCTTTATTATCTTATTAAATAAAAAGCGATCAGCGATTATCATACTAAACAAAGAGCGATCCTTTTCCTTCAAACCTCCGAAGGAATAAGTTGCCGTTAATTTTGGCGGGATCTTCTTCAGTTTTCAATTGCAACGGGGAAATACGTAAGTATAAAGAAACGTTTCGATTTACATGAAATAGAAAAAGATTTTGTTCAAGAAAAATAAATTAATTAATTAACTTTATCCAGAAAAGATAATATTTCGTATATTGTTCTGAGTAAATAAAAAGACCTCATTTTTAACTCTAATGCTCGCCGAAATAAAATAATACATAAAGAAAATTAAACTATCGGAATTTTTTGAATATCTCAATCAGCTGTGATACCAGCTATTCTGGATGCTTGGATTTCTACTTTAGTATAGAAAAGGTTATGGAAATAATTTCCTTTACATCAATTTTCCTCCTTAATTTCGTTCCCAATTTCTCAACATTTTTATGTACAAATAAGTTTACTCTTGTATGCTTAAAAATATCACTAAATCTCAGTTATGACGAGCATTGGAAAGTTGGCAAAAATTAAAATTTATATATATATATATATTATATATATATATATACATACGAAGTGGAACTGATGGAAGATATGCATACACATACATATTAAAGGTGTTTAAAGTTTAATACTGCAATCTCTAGTTAAAACTGATACATTCCTAACAAAACGTGGAGATATTTAAAATCTACCAAATTCGTTCTTAGCCATGCACGAAATACACAAAAGAAATTTCCTATTTCTTTCTGGCCTTTCCATTTTCTTCAAAACTATGTTGCGAAAATAACTTAGGAAAAAAAATACAATTGCTTGCATAGCACCAATTCGCAGTAAATTATAGCTTTGAATGAAATTCAATACTTTAAGCTGTGATAAAATTACAATGAAATTTCTAAAGAAGACACTTATCTCATTTTAATACCGTGAACTACTTGATAAAAAATACTGCAGTAGAGTTATAAATTTAGGCTTTTAAACATAATTTAAGAAAAATTTTTTAGTATATGTTAACTAAATGCAAGAACTTCAGTAACTACTGACAATAATAAACTTAGTATAGAACAATACCGAAGAATCTGCAATTGATAAAAATATATTCTTATGAAGCAAAGTATCCTGAAATAATTCTTATTAAATGTGATAAGTTATACCATTTTCTTACGATAAAAGCTGAAAAAATATATATATTTATCAATTTATTATATTCTCAAAACCTTTTTAGATGGTTTGAAATAAAAAATAAGATATTAGTATTAAAACAGCTGAATAATATTTTTGTTAATTAAAGTTTATACGTTTAATTCTAAATTACACATAGACATTTCAGTCAGAATTTTAAAATTTTCATTTCAAACTACATATATATTTAAAGCTAAGAATTCTATTTAAAAATACTTTTAACTACTCTTGAAACCAAAATCTTCCAATAACCTTTTTTAAAGATTACCGACTTATATTAAAAGTTTATCGATTCAAAATACGTTAAATAGCTAACACAATTAGAAAATTTATGAAAAACCGCATTTTGATTATCCTTATTGAATTTTAATGTGCGACATCAGATATAAAAATAAAAGCTACACATATTTAAAAAAAGTTACAATAGAAAACATTTCGCAGTTACACATAATTTTATAAAAACATTCAGAAATTTTTTTCGGAAAAGTTAATGTAAAATGTGACAGAAATATAAAATATACTAAAAGTTTATGCTGGCGATTACTCTATTAAAAGATTCATTTTATAACAACATTAATATTTATAAAGACATCATCATTAGAATTAGGTTCGATGACGCAACAATTGAAAAACGCTGGTCTTCACATCTACGTTGAAATTTCACACTTTTCTGAAGAAACGAAACCTGAATTGCTACATTCGGACATCACTTTCATATAACAAGTAACACTGATTGTCAAATTACGAAAATAATAATTAATTAACGATCAATAATTCCATAAAATGCACAGTGATTTTCAAGAGAGTGAATATATTTTTTTTTTTTTTTTTTTTTTATATTCCCCCAGAGAATGTTCGGTTGTATGCTCCACATCAAGAAAAAGTCTTCCGAACACTAGACTGTCTGAGTGAAGGATCAATAGGTTCAAAGTCAAGTAGGTCATACATTTTGTAGGACATCCTAGTCATGCAGATCAAAAGGCAGGTAAACGTCCAGACCACTTCCAGGAATTGCTTGAACTGCCTGAAAAATATGAAACAAATAAGAATGGCAAATAACGGAATAATGCAAAAATATTTATGAGAACAAACATTCACAAAAGATACTTTATGATTATTCGCATCTCCACCAAATGTCGCGAACCTGTTGGTGATTTTGGAGACCATTCGCAACCTCATTAGTGACTTTGAAGAGAAACGTTTGCTTGAGTATTTCAACGATGCGTCCATTGCCGCTTTTTTTCTTTCTTTTTTTTTTCTTCATGGAAGACATGCATACTTTTCGGAAGCAATAACGACAGTTGCGTTTCAGAATGATCCCATTTCTTTTTCATAGACTATCATCGACATTTTCCGACAAATAAATAAAGGGAATAGCTGTTGTAATTAAGATAAGACTATTTTCAAACCAGTTTCCTATGCGCATTCTAACACTTTCCTAGTAATATAGCATTTCATAAAATTCGTTCGTTTAAAAATACAATTTCATTAGAATGCGAATTTATGCATTCTAAAGCCCAGCGCCATATTTCTGAACAAAAGCAATATTTTCTTTTTATCAGCTGGCAAAATCCACTTGCATTTTACAATTCATTGTGAGAAAAAGGAAATATGCTCAATGAAAATAATAAAAATATTACAATAATAATCAAAAAATGAACTCTTGAATTTTAAAAGAGTAATTCTACGTATACTCAAATATGCGTGTGCTATGCCAATACCTGAGTTGCCACATATACTTTTTAGTGACATCTTGGATTGTCACAAATATTTTTGGTGACATAGTGCAATGCCTGATCAATAAGTTTTTGGTAAACTGCGGGTAATAGGAAAGCATTTTTCAGAAAATTACTATTGTGTACTTAAATTATATACCGATTCCAGAGCACAGCAGGTCGTTTTGCTGCTCCAAATTTTTAGAGCAAATTCCAGTTTTTTGTTCAATGCGTGTGCTAAGAAAACTAATGTTCATTTCTTTCATACTACCCGAAGCCTACGATTATCCGATTACATGTCACCCATGTACGTCGGATTATCAAAACTGTATAATAAAATTAAAAACCTTAGGCGTCAAAAATTCATATATATAGATTTCCGGTTCTTTTAATTTAATCTGTAAAAATCTAGAATGAATGAAACTATTAGTTATAAAATACAAAAGTACAAACCAACTTACAAAATCTTTCACTTTAAGTTGCTCAAAACAATGTCCTGAACATCAATTTATGTAATTTTGTCTGAAGTATTAATCAATGTTAAAAAAAACTGCAGTCAGAAAATTTTAACATAACAGGGCTTACCAAAAACTTAATTTTTTTGGTAAGGAATGTAACGGAACATCTAAGACCAAGCATAGATTGTGTGAATCCCAAAATCGGCAGTTGCGAGTACTTCCTGAACTGGCCAAATAAAAATGTGCTTCATCTGTCCAGTGGATGTTTTAAGGTCATTACGAATTGATTTGGCAGTGAGCAAAAATCTACAGTGAGAAATGGAGTGGTACATCATAACTATATAAAAGCAACTGTTTTGTACGGATAACATCGGAAAATATCCTGCGAGATCATATAAAACAGCTAAACGTGAACTATAAACAAACCTCCGTTTCAGTGCAAGCATTAGTGTTGGCCTTAAAGTTTAAAGCTCTACTTTCCTCTCATTAATCCTCTAACCGCAGGCACAGAATTCATTAAAGGTGTAAAAACCTTCGTACCTTATCTTCCTGCGAAAGCTGATCGCAATTGAAATCTCAGTTTCTAACGACGCGATAAAAAAGTTCTCCGCATAATGTATTCAGGATAAAAGGTAATCCAGCACATAGAGGATTAAACAGCAGCCTTCTCCTTATTACCTCAGTAGAAAGAGGTTTTTTTCTCCTCTTTCAGAAAGAACAGCCAGTGATCCTGTTACTTCAAATTTGATTTTAATTTTTCGGTGTTTTATCAGAGACTGGACCTCTCACCGACTATTTGAAGCTCTTTGGAAGTCCGAAATATTTGGCGCGGAATCGGCATTTTGATAAAGGAATTTGATTACCAAAGCGCGATTTTGCAAACTCAAGTTCAATGTGAATAGAACTGAAGCAAATTCTCAGAGAATGTTTACAAGCTGCATGTTTCTAGTTCAGTAGGTCTGTCTGCCAAAGGGGATGTCTTCATGGAAGACTTTCCAAGGGAAACTGGCTCATTTACATTCAAATGGGAATACTCTTATTTGCCAGGATACGAAATTCATTCATACGGATTCGTTTGATGTATTTAACAGTAAAATTTGTTAATGCACGTGTAGGCCGCAGAAAAGGATTTCACGAGCCTTATGCGACCAGAAAGGCCTTTAGTTTTCAGTACGGAATAACTATTAATTGGAACAGATACAGCTATGTGTTGGCATAATTTCATGGTCAAAATTAGATTAACTTTGCTGTGGTTTGATTGATTATGGCAAAGCACGCGACGGAAATTTTCCCGTGAGGAACGATGCCTTCGTGGAGAACTTTCTATTGGAAACTGGTCTGTATCCACGTTACACACGGGAAAACCATGGAAACGCCGCACAGCCAGCCCGTTCACTAGAATTTCAACCAGGTCGAACTACCAGTGTTCAATGAACTTGGACGCTGGTGACCCGGTAAAAACTGTAGTGGCCTGTAATTTTCTGTAATTACTCGTGAGACTTCAGAATCTAAAGACGTAGACAGGTATTTGATAGGTGCAAGTGTACGGACACCAGACTTTCACCACTACAGTGCAGTGCAGCTCCAACCCAATTTCGATAAACAGCAACCCCGGAAAAGATCCAAGGCTCTCCCACCCCTCTTCCACTGTCACCAAGCCAATCGAAACGAATTTCGACCAGCCAGTATTTAAAGTGCATCCGTGCCGCGTAGACGCGCACACATCCTTATCTTCTCCGAGATTGGAACTCTGGGCTCATCGGTACGGTAGCTAGCGTTGGTTAACATTACATCGATCAGGGCGGCGACCATCATCGAAAATGGATTAAAAAACATCTGAGCAGACATTGAACTATGATCTATGAACAAAAATGTTGGGAGGTGTTTTTTAAATACTACTGTCTACATTTAGCCACCTTGTCCATGTTATTTATAAATAGAAAAGTGACATTAATATCTAAAAATGTTATTGCTATTTTTATGTTACCGGATAAAAAAGCAAAATATCAAATCGTTTACTAAATGAATTCTTTAGGAGAGATAATATAAGTTTTAGTCATCTTTCTCTCAAGAAATATTTCGGTCCTTTGTCTTGGATAATAGCCAAAGTATTTCACACCACGGAAAAACATTCTCGTCGAGCTACTTGACAAATGGCTTTGATCATTAAGATAGCAGCCTTCTGTGAAAAGACAATTTTCTCAACTACTGCTAGTTCGTGCCTCTGCTGGAAATGTTAATGAATCATACGTTCGCGCTTTTATTTAGTGCCAAGTAGCATTTAATACGCTTCAGAGTAGTATATCGGTAGGAGATTTTCTATGTCCCCTTCTTCTGAGTACATGAAACTAAACTCTTATAAATGCTGAGTGTTTATGTAGTCAAAATGAGATTTTTAACCACCATAACATTCGATAGAAATTATGCACATAAAAGAATCTCAAATTTCCTATAGAATTAAAAGAGTTAAGTGAAAAAGTTCCTGCAAATTGGAGGCGATCAACTTGGAACTTAATACATTACAAGATAAATTTTCGCTCCACCTATCGAATCGAATACTTGCTGAAATTTGCTCAAGGTACCGGAAGAGTATGTTATATCATGGTGTGGAAGACGTCATACCCTACATAAATTTCCAAGAATTGGTATAAAAAACCAGTTCTTTGTTACCACATGTACGAAACTAGCTTTTCGGACTGCTTTCCTATGCAAGATTTATATTTGCATAGTCAAGGTGCCTTCTTTCCTTTCATCAGCTGTCAGTTCCTACCTTTTATGGCATGCATATCGCAGGATTCTGCAAAGTCAGACCAGATAATGAGACGTAAATCTGGTTATGTTAGAAAATGTTAACATAGATAGTCTAGTGATTAATTTTAATACCCAAGTCAAGTCAAGGCAAGGCAGATGAGGTAGATAAATCAGGTCATACTTGCCAGTTGTATTGTAGAAGTTCAGTGCCACATGTAACTACTCTGGTTGTGACGAATGGGAAGATTCGCAATCGCCTATACTGCCCATGTAAAATAATTTGTATAGTGGAAAAATAAAAGCACGTTACAATACATTCGATATGTGCTGTAACGTGCTTTTATTAGATAATGTGACACCTTTCATCGACGCTTCGGCATCATCCTATGCTATGTTCAGCTAAGCTCCCGCAACAAACAATATTTTAGATATCGGAATAAAGAATGCACGTTAGAGTCGAATTCGTTCAGAAAAAACGCATTTTTAAGATGCTACGCTTCGCGTCTCTCAATCTGATATGTGCTTCAGCGAAATAGAGTTCGAGCACTACATGCACTGCAAATGACTTTTCAACAGAATATATTACAGTTTTTTTACTATTTAAAACAGTGTATTGTTTTCGGAGGACTTTCGTAATCTACAGCTCGATTAGGAAGGATTTCTACTCTTTATGAAACTTCTTTCACAATTCAGCACCATACTCCAGTTAGGGATTCAGGTGTATGCCGACTAATCTTTCAGAAACAACAAAATTTTCTCTCGAGGTGCCTCCTAAGGTGTTTCAGAAGCCACTGCATTATTGCTTGGTTAAGGTCTTTTTTGGGGCGGCGGTTATATTTCAAGTTTGGATTTATTCGTCACCTGATCGGTAGATTGGTAGATCTGTTTGAATTTTACTTTGATTCATAAAAATCTTGCTTTGGAAAATTTATAAGAGTTCGCGAGCGTCATTACAAACACGGGAAGGAAATTACAGAGTGTTCAAAAAACCAGCTGCAGAATATAAATATGTCAACCATTTAAAATGTATGTCTGCAAATTGTCAGCTTTCCGAAAATTACGAATTCAGATGCCGGATTTGAAAAAAATTCTTTGAGCCG